TAGCACGCTGCTTTCTGGATTCCACCATCATGTGTGTCATCTTTCGGGTAGGAACAACAGGTACCACCCTGGTTTTGTGCTTCGCAGACAAGCTCTAATATAAACTTCAGTTCGTACAGACTCTAAGGAGGCGGCCTTGGGCAAGTTGTGTGTACCACGAGAGGTGGCTTCCACCTGCACGACCCCGAAGGTCGGCCTGTAGCTGCCTAATGCGTCCCACCAGCCCTTAAGATTTCATCATGTGTGCCTCTCCGAGCAAATGGATCAGCTCTGGGCTCCTAACAGAGCAGATGGGTTGCAGGCAACCAGGCTCCAACCCTCCCTCCTCAAGTGACCACGTGGCTTTTAGCTGCAGGTGTCCTACATGTGACAAGCCTGGTCAGGAACCTGTCAGGCTTTCACCTGCATCTTCAGACACCGCTGACACAACCACTCTGGACAGAAGTACAGCACGCTGTCACTGTATTAAATTTCTTCAGAATTAGGCTGCGCTGATGGTCAACCCATTGTTCCCTGAACAATGCAGTTAGAGAAATGCCTCTTTAAAAAGAACTCATCATTTTAACAGTTAATCCTCCCCCCACATTTTTTACACTAAGAATTTTATCCAGACGCAAAACCCATACAAATCCTGACAACCTGGCCACAGCTCATCAAATATAAACTTGGTATTTTTTACCGGGAAGGGAAAAAACCCAAGAGGTAGCAACCACAGTAGCCAGGATAAAAACTTTCCAGACGCATTTTGACCATGCTGACCCTGACGCAGGATTCACTCCTGAAGAGAGGAGTGTCAAAATAAAGTGATCTTTATGGTCAAGTAACTGGAGCTTCTCACTCTCAGTGGGAAGGTCGACAGCTTTTATAATCATCACCTATTCTAATATTGGTTGTCTGAAAATAAACAGGTCCACTAGCCACGTACCAGCTTTTGCGGTTCTGATCTCTTGGTGCTAAATTATTCTAAAATCAGTTTTGCTGTATCACTAGTCAAAAAACCAAAGCTAATGAAGACGCTGGATAAAGAAGCACGTTCCATAAAGGATACTAACCTCGGGTAGTCTGCATCGCCTAAATAGACCTGCAAAATGTTCTCCTGTTTTACAACACACCCCGCTTTCAGGTATGGGTATTTTCACTTAGCTACCATATCACCTTTTGCTTAGAACAGCATCTTTCATCCCAAAATGTGGTCACTCCACCTACCTGCAGGATGAAGGCGACTACGCACAGTGACAAACAGAAACTATGCAAAGCCACACGAAACTTTCTAATAAGAAACACCATCGGAACAGCAGGGAAAACGGAAAATTGGAAGAATCATATTATCCACATTAATATCCAGCCAATAAATTGGGGTTAGCGCTCTATTCTCATACACGGCCAGAAAAGGACCCTGCTTTTAAATTTCAGTGAACAGATGGTGAAATCCCACTTCCTGCGACTTTCATGCTGGGAGAGTAACTCACTACCGCATCAGCCGGGAGACCGACACCTACAGAGCTGCGAGAACACTCCACATGGAAACCGGCCTCTCCTCGGAGGTCTCCTAACCAGGACCCCCTGCCTAACACTTGGAGAATATCACACCCTCCAAGCTGAGATGGCTTTGGAAACGGCAGGCAGAAGCTGATGCAAATGGGCCTTGATTAGCCGAACGCAAGAGAACATGTATATTTTTACGCCTTTATACTTCACCGCAATTGCATCTTAGCGGCCTCCACGGTAAGGACAGATGACGTCTGGTGTCATTATTACCAGCGTAACTACCCAGAGAACGCCGCAACAAAGTTATGTTGCAGAAGACATGAGCGAACATCCCACCAAATGCTACTAAAAAAGAAGAAACCCCACCGTTTCATGCAGGACTAATTCCATCAGTACACAGATCTCTCAGATTTGCAGTGGTTCGCATCCGCTTCAAACCAGCAATACAGGCGAGGGCTACAAAAAAAGTAGCCGGTAGCTTCACGCATCTCTGAACAGAATCAGCTACAACGGGTTTTGAATACGTCACAAAAGAGGTGTGCGGGCTTCCAGAGACGGCCACGGGGTTTAAGGCTCTTACACCTCTTTTCTTCAAGGCCAGTCCTGACAGGCTACGTGGGCTCTTCCTTCGAGTTGCCTTAGCAGCGACTAGTAGAATAGCACGAACTCACCTGTGTGGAAAGCTTGCTGAAACACAGAAGAAACAAACCTCCAAACCGATTTTGAGGAGAAGAGTGACTCGGTTTTAAACTGTGCAATTTTCTTTTCAAAAGGAAATTTTTCAGAAAGGTGATATTCGAACAGAAGTGGCAAAAAATCGGAGGAATAAAGATCATACCATGGCCGTGCTGCATTTTTCATTAAGCAAGTGAAACGTTAGAGCCCTCGGATTTCCACCTACTTCATATTTCAGTCTTAGAAAGTGTTACATCAGCAGAGTCGCCAGGTAAAGCTGCTGTTTTATTCTAAATGGACTTCCTTCAGACACTGGCACAGATGATGAGTGATTGTCCAATTCTGGAGCTATCAGAACTGAACGGATTTAGCAATGTCATAAACACCTCTCGAGGGAGTCACCTGGTGTTGAGAACTCACTTTACATGCCGTGTTTCAAAATGAGTTTTAATGGATTTACATTAGATTCAAACCCACTTTAGAGCTATTATTTCTCCCTTTCAACCTTTTCACCCACTGCCGCAGCGTACTACGGCGCGTTCTCTAATCACATGTTTGCAGGCCCGGGGTAAAGTAAACAAAACTTCCAAGGGTTATTATTTAAAGGCTCTGTATTACAGCCACGGGCCTGACTGTTATTCTTCCTCACCACCCCTTGGGCCCAAAGTACATAATCATCCAGTAATTGAACTGAAGTGTCTAAACGGCTGGATCCCCTGAAGGACACAGGTAGTTAGCGGCGAGCAAAGGAAGGGACATTTAAAAAAAAGAAAAAGCCCTCACGGCACTTTCCTGCGCTGCTTAGAAACACGGTGTAAACGGAGGTGCCCGGGACCGGGCAGGTGCTGGCGGCAACCAGCGCGACGCGTGGATGCTGCTGGGGTGGCGTCCGGAGTAAAGACGAAGCGCGGAACCGGGCGGCGTTGGGAAGCGAAGGGCTCACGTTCAAACCGCTTTCAGAAGATTTGAGAAGCAGCAGCAGAGAGGCACATCCGTACGTCTAACACACTGGTATCGCTAATACCATGTGAAAGCAAACCCCTCTAGGTCCTCATGTTTAATAGCCCCTCCAAAAAGTGTAATGGATAGCAGATCCCAGGCTTTCATACACTGTAACTGTCAAAGCACTCCGGAGATAGAGGAGTGAAGGCTCTGACAGCTCTCTTTTACACTCTAAATGACATCTGCATTCAACAGAACAGAAATAAAGATTAAGGGGAACACCTGATACGATCGCACTCCGCTTACCTTGAAATGCAATATTTAAAAAGTACAGAGAAACACAGGTCTGCCTCCTTGTACCGTAAGTAAAAACCGGTGTCAAAGCCTCAGAGGTCTCCACCGCCGCCAGAAAAGGCGAGCGCCACCGCGTCCCGCAGAGCACGGGGCCAGAAGCCGCGGCGGCGGCCCACGGGAG